AACCCACAAAAGCCCTCTTTCAATTTGGGGAAGAAAAACATTTTCATGGGGGAAGGGGAGGCATATAATTTTGTTACAGGCTTTTTATTAAAAAATCCCCATATAATCCCAAAAAGGTTTGGGTGGGAAGGGACCATAAATCCCATCCMRTKCCACCCCWKCCATGGCAGGGACACYTCCCACTGTCCCAGGCTGCTCCCACCCCAATGTCCAGCAATGGCAAAACCAGCAGGGAGTGCCCAGGAAAATTCCCCAGAGGGATTTCAAACCTCAAACAAGTACTACTTGAACCTTTCTCTTCTCTGCACAGATTGTACGGAATAGTTAACAGTAATTGGTGTTGATTTTTTTTAAATTATAAAGTGCTTTTGAAGGTGTTGAATAGGTCCATCCCACTCACAAATACAACAGAGAGAACCAGATGGAGGCAGAGGGGGAGAAAACCCAAAGGAAGGGAATCCTCTGTGATACAGAGCAGGGAAGAGACATCAGCAGTGCTGCAGACACATTTCAGCCCCGAAAAAACCTCACCATCCAACCTTTTTTTTTAATCCCAGCCATTTGGGGAGCAACCAGTGCTGATGCCACTATTTTTGACACCCATGAAAGTGCTCTGGCTGCTTTTTCCAGATCCTGAAAGAGCCACGAGCAGGACACAAGGTGATAATGTTCACACCTGAGACAGCTCCCCTGGAGAAGCTGTGGGACAATTATTGTTCCCAAGTGTGCCCAAGCTTTGGAGCGCTGGGTATTGCTGCCATGGAGTTTTATTTTTTCCGTGGGCCTTCCAAGGAAAAAGGATTAARGCTAATTGGCAGCAGCACTGAGAGCTCTTTCCTATAAACAGGTGATTCCAGCGCACTCCAAATAATCCAAACTGTTTGGGAGAAATTTACTAATTATTAATCATAATAATTAATAATTATATTAGTTAGAAATAATAATAATAATAATAATAATAATAATAATAATAATAATAATAAATTACTGACATTTATGATTATGGACTGGTGTAAGCAAAGAATCGAAAGGGCTTAGGAGAATGTGAAAATGAGCCACGTCACTGACGTATAAGGAGTTAATAAATTATGCAGCACTAAGATARTAAATTATGTAGCACTAAGATATCATTAAATACAAGATATTTAATGATATATGCTGCTGGACGCAGCACAAGATA